TTTCGCTTGATAAAATTTCAAGAATTTAATACAAGCATTCCACTCACGTCCAATTTAATTCCGCTACTCCACTCTGCACTACTTCTTAATAATTGTACTTCACAAGTGCCTCGGAATCGACTTTCATCCCGCGTATTAACATATTCTCCTTTTGGTGTTAAAAATGGGAATTTCGGGTTATCATAAGACTTTTCGTCTTTAATGAAATTCCATCTTTGAACAAAATGCCTAGCGACATCACGCGCAGGAGGTCCAACCTAGAAAAAATTTACATTTTTCAAGTCAAATTTAAATTTAAATCTTCACCCATTTGAATATTGAGTTATTATATTACGTAAATTTACCATTCCTATCGAAACATCGTGCCATGGCATGCGGGGAACGTTCTTTTTATCGACAGCCTCATGGAGCCAATTTGCAACTAATTTTTTTTTAAAAAAAAAATTAATACCTTGAAATCATACTTTTTTTCTATTAAAAAAAAAAAAAAAAGATTTTTTTACCATTTGCGAAATCCTTGACTCGTGGATTAGAGTAGTCTTGTCCTAACCATATTGGTTGATCACCAGGTTCATTAAGAAAGCTGTCAGATAACTGATGCACATGAGTATCATAACGTCCAAAACATAAATCTAATCCTCCAATAAATGCTATTTCACTATCAATTACGACCATTTTCTAAATAATTAATCAAGGCAATTTAGATAAAAAAAAAATTTAAAATAAATCGTCATTCTTGTCATTTTAAGGAAAATGTATTTAATATTACCTCGTGATGCTAAAATTACGAAGAAGGAAATTATTTAAAGAAAAATTAATTAATAAATCGTCGTACGTTTAGACCTAATCATTTTATTATCAACTTACCGCCCAAAACATTACACCATCGGGTCCATGATCGGGATGTCTTTGAACTAGAATCGACGAAACATTATTTCAATAAATATTCCTTACAAACCAATCCAAGTATAAATGCTTGAACAAAAAATAACCTTTGATATTTGGATGAAGTGATTGCAAAGTTTGTTTCGTATGATTAGAGTCCAAAGTTAAAGCCAATTTCACCTCTTTGTAGACGACAATATAAATCATAACACCTTCTTCAGCTTTCTTTTTAAGCAATCTATCTAAACGAAACTCTTCGTTTTCATGAGGAGGTCTACGAAGGTACTATACAAAGCAAACTAAGATCATCAGGTATAAATTGAAAAGTAACACTTTATTTTATCTATATACTCACCAATTCGGGAGATAACCACCAATCTTCAATATAAATTTCAGATTTTGCAGCCAAAATCGCTTGCGAAACAGCAAGGAAATAATCTTTGCCATCAACATACCACTTGACCTTTGCATGCTCCCTCTTAGGAGCATAAGAATCGAAACGATGTTGTTTTACCCAAGGAGAAGACCCTTTAACCCTATCAATACTTTCATTGATTTCATTTAAAGTACGAGATTCACTCCTAAGTTCAATCTTACGTGAACTATTTGATATAAAAATAGTATCGTGACGGGACAAAACTTTGTTTAATCCGTGCGTTTCCAATTTAGTACATTTGAAGTATTTATCTAGCAAGAATACGTCCGCTGGTGTTGTTGAACTGATATGAGTACAAAATGCAATGTAACTATAAAAATAAATTTTTTTTTCTATCATCAAGGATGCATAAACTAATATGAAGAAGCAAAGTCCAAAAAAATTTTTTTAAAAAAAAGGATACGAGTCGCGAACAATCACCCATTCTCTTTCCCAAGCCTCATTAGAACTTTTTCTCCAAAAACAAAATTGATTCTTATCAAATTTGTCAACTTTATTTTCTACATAACCTTCTTTACCCTTCATTCCCATATCTCTCGTAATGGAAATCGCACTAAGTTCCAAGAATTCATTAAGAGTATAAGAAACATTTCGATTCAATGCCTTTATTAATTGAATAAGATATGATTGTAATTTTTTTCTTCTTTCAAGAGCTAATTCTTGTTGTTTTGCGTGTCTTGTTGCAGTTCTATGAAATAATGTTCCGACCCAAGATGTTATATTGGTCGGTAAGGTCGGAATCTCGGGTAAATCATTCTTCCTTCTCAAACTAAAATCAAGGAATGAAAAGTCAAATGCGGTTCTTTGTATAACCCATTTGACATCACCATATTCCAATTCAATTCGATAAAGGGTTTGTAAATTATACATATGTTCATCAGCGCGAGAATCAGTGATGGCAAGCTATTGCAACATTAATAACAATTCGTTAGTTTTATTCATTGAGAGACACTTTAAATAAAATGAATCAAACCTTTAAAGCTTCAAATATGATGGGAGGCTGAATTGACAATAAGATGTAATAATTAATATATGATATTATATTATAAGTCATGACAGCTTAATTATTGAGGAAATTTACAATACCGCTTTACGACCTTCATGATCCCTACGAGCCCATAAATATGGAATGGAAATTGCAATTGGTAACATTATAGATGGAAAGTCTCCAGCATTCTCAAGACGTGTATTGTCAGGATTCGCAGCCATTTGTTGAAATTCATGCGCCGCAAGAGCTTTCTTTACACGACCTCTAAGACTAATCGTTACATTTGAACCTTCATAATATATAGAATTTAAAAATTTAGAAAGAATGGTTTAAAAAAAAATAAAAAAAAAACCTTCCCTCAGCATCTCATTTTTAAAAGTAAAATACCATTTGTTATACCTTCGCTCTGTTCTCCTTCAGTTAATAAAGGTGCATTACTTTCAATTGAGTTACGTTGCAAATACTCTGGTTGGTCAGGTAATTGTTCTTCAACATATGGTGCAGCTAATTGATGTTCATTTAGACCACATTCAAAAGGATTATTAACGCTGTCCCGTAGACGACGAACATAATGTCTCTTATGCGTTATATTTAAACGCGCTGAACGTGGAGTTGATCGATTTTCACCAAGAACATTTAAAACACTATGAAACATATTTTTTTGCCTTTCTGGAATTTCCACTTTGTCTTTTTCATCATCATCCGATTCATTTGGATCTTCGTTAACAGCTCGAATTAAAGCCAGCGTTTTTCCTGATAAATCCACAAATAAGCCCTCATGATGATTTTCCATATTTTCATGAGAGGTGGTCACATTTTGAATTGGAATAGGACTAGAGTTTTGTTGTGGAATTGATGATGATTCAACCATGTTTTTAATTATTTATTTTTGAGTTTTTTCTTTTTTTTTTTGTAAGGAATAATGCTAATTAACTTGATGAAAGCATTTCAATTTTTACTGCGGATTATAATAACAAATAACGATTTCCATCCATGATAGATTCATTCTATTTATACTCTTTGGTGGTTGTTCTTTTATCACAACGAGAAAAAAAAAAATGTTCCTGATGGGGCGTTATTGCAGCAAAGCTCTTTATGTAGTATTGATCGACATAACAAGGGATTCCCGTTTATTAACGTGTTTGATTGTCAAATGGTAATTAAAAAAACGGGCGTAAAGGAATAGCTTTTGGGGCAATCATTTTTATTTTTAAGGCTTTACATATCTCAAAAAAAATCTCATAAACCCGAAGATAGAAGAGGGTGATGGAATTTATACAAATTCAAGTCCGTGCGCATTAAAAAACATTACCCTCAGGAGAATATTCCTTCTTTTAATACGATGACAATGACAATGCACAACATTCATAAAAGGAATAAGAGAGATGTTTTGCTTTGTGTCACTCAACGAATCTTTAAAAAATAAAAAAAGAACAATGAACATTCAAGATAATTAAAAACCAGTTAATTGATCATTGAATTAACTCCTTTTCGATAAGTTATGAATCCATTATCACTTTTATGAAACATTTATAAAAACGAAATTACAAAACGACAAATTTGTTATCATTTTAATACCGCGGTTAGATGAATTTTGAACTTCTTCGACTACCATTAATAACCAAATTTTTACATAATGTCATGGTAATTCAAGGTTAATACTCGCTTTCTCATATTAGAAGCATCAACGACAAAAGTCATTAATACTGTAAAAAGATTCTTTTTGACAATTAAACGGTTCAACTGTGCCACATCAATGACAACATCATGAATCGATGTCGCTAACAATATTAAAACGTCATCGGAAAATGGAGAGGGAGTTAATATTTCTTTTTAATAACTAATTTCTAACTATACTCGGGGAACAAGTTTTAAAGCCTTGCATCATTGTTTGATAATATTAATTTTGCCGTATCTTATTGGAGATTGAGACACATTTCGAATTCACCAAGCAAAAAATAGTTTTTTATTTTCTCTTTTTTTTTTTTGATTTTCCACTTAATTTTGAGTTTTTGTTCATGTCATGCAATTTAAATATTATGATTTTAACTGCTATGCCAAATTTAGTCAAGCGTTGAACTGATTGGTCCTAATTTTATTAAGAAATTTAAATAATTGTTTTTTGCAAATAAATATCAAACACGCATATGAAAATAGAATGAAAAATGAACCAAAAATTCTTTCATTTTCTCAGATTAAAATAAGTTTTTTGTTTATGCACCATAAATGGTGAACACATGGATTACGATTTGATGATTTTATGATACTGAAATGGCTTAATCGCCCTTTTAACGTTGATCGGAAATAGTTTTTTTTTTGAATTAATTAGAATTAAATGGTAACCAAATTCAGCCTTAAAAAGATGTTTCATTTTAAGATTTGGAAGATTTGGAGGGAAATTTTCAATTGATTTTGTTATTTAAAATGATGGAAATTGGATTATTTTGAAAAACATTTCCCCTTTACAATCTTGCGGGCTTTACGGAGTGTTTGATTGGCCTTTTCCTTCTTTTAATTCCACAATTCCTTTTTTTTTTTGTTTTTCTTTAAAAAGAGAATCTTTATTAAAAAAAAAAAAAAAAAAAAAGGTTCTCTCCCTCACATTTTTACATGAACCATTTATTTTCCGAATTCTCCATTAAATAAACGAAATCATTTATCTTGACGACCTCTTCAATAAAATCATTAAATATGAATGCAAGTGACACTTTTAAAGCTTTGAGAGGCATTCAAATATTCTTAGTTTTCCTTTGCTTATTGCTAGGTGAGTGAAGAAATTCAAGTAAAAAAAAAAAAAATTCCCGCAAGGTTAAGCTAATAAAGTAATTTATCTGAATTAAATAGAAATCGTTGAGTACTCTTCATTTGCCGATTTCTATGCCGAACAAGGCTACGACCTTTCAGCTTATTTCAACGGTAAAATGTAAGTCTTTGCAAGATGACCTTGCATGACTGGTGGCAATTTTTTAAATGATTGATTTATTTATTTATTTATTTATTTATTTCCCAGAACAAAATCAAATAAGCAAGGTGTTGATGAAGTTTATTTTAATGGAGTAAAGATTTTGTATTACATTGTTATATCTTTAACTATAGTAGATGGGTGTTTTTATTTAATGAGAAAACATAAAGGTCCATTAAAACGTGACATCTCCGTCAAAACGTTTTTCACGATATTATGGTTTATTTCCGGGATCGCAAACGTCTTTCCATCATTTCAAGGTTACGGGTATAATTGTTCGGCTGCTAATGACGCTAGAGCCCGCCGCGAGTGTCAGATTAATGTGACGAGCATAACAATTGGTTGGATCAACGCTTTTCTTTTCTTTTTGTCAACTTTGGTAGCATCGAAATTTTGGAAACAAAGACAGGAACTTTATGAAGGTGAAAGAAGAGTTGAAGCTTTGGGTGAAGTGGTTTATAAATATAAACCACGTCCTAATACGATCGTTCAAATTAATGAACCTGAACAAGTTTTGATCTACAAATCTTGTGTTAAGAAATGAAATTTTACACACATTCTTTAATTATTCTTGATGAAAAAAAAAAAATTTTTTTTGTCTCAAATGTGTTTGAAACATGACTTGAGACTAGAGAATTTTGATATGTCCTTTTTAATGACAACCATATTAATCACGTAATATAATCACTTTTCACGACACACCCTTTAATTGTAACTAAACACCTAACCAATAATTGTAAATTTACTTTTTATTTCTTCATTCTCATACACAATATAAATTCAAACTGGCAGGAACAGATTTTGAATTTATTAATTTCTTAATTTCATTAATTGATTATGTACGAATTTGTTTAACAAATAAATTTAAACAAAAAAATCATGATGAGTTTTTCGTTGACAGGTAAAAAAATTCCTGTCAATGATTCAAAGAAGCGCGAATTATGTCCCGAAGTGTTTTTAAAATTTTGCGTCTTGAATGATAAACGATAAGCGAATGCACAATAGCGTATGTAGCACGTGATGTTTATCACGCAGTGATTTCACAGATATGACCTCCGATAAAGGTTCCCTATTTCTATTTTTAAAAAGTCAGAAATTCCGCCATGATGCTAACGCAATTTAAGAATTCTTTCGTTTGAAACGCGGAATTCCACTTTTTGAAAAATAAAGGGAGCAAAGCCTGCCATTCGTTAGCATTTGTTAAATTTATCAAAATACCTCATTTTGGATCTGCATAATACCAGACGCATAATGTAATGCACAGGATAGTTTGTGTGTTGTGTTGTAATACCGAGAGGTTCCTCAAATATAAAGATGAAATAAAATTCTAAATTTTTTTTTTTTTATTTTCGTCCGTACCTTTTTTCCGCCCATCCGTTAGATGTATTGGAGAACTTTTTTTTTTTTTTTTTTCAAAAGAAAGAGTAAAGACCTAATTTCTCCCTTTTTTTTTTTTATTCACACATCGTGCCTTTTTTTTAACGAATAAATTTCGACGAAAAACGCATTCCTTTATTTAGTAATTAGAGTAATTAAGCTGTTGATTTATTTTTAATGCCTTACTTGTAAACGTGAATTATTATAACGAATTTAGAAATAAAGTAACTTGTTACGAATTTTTATTTTTCCGAATTTGTACAAGTCAATCATATATAAAGAACAAAAATAAAAATAACTTAATGTTTATAAATATATTATATTATATTTATTAAATCAACACATAATATATTCATTTTCTTTTTTTTTTTTTTTTTTTAAAAAAAAGAGAAAAAAAAAAAGAAATAGGGAAGGATATTATTAATAATGAAAGTCAGTAAGCATCCATTATTGTTTTTTAGCATTAAAATATCACAAATAATAGTTTGTATAATAGTACTTATATTAGGCAAGTGTTTATTGTTAATTCTTTTTCTGTAACTTTTCAAAAGAAATATATATATAATTTTGGTATATCTACATATATTTATAGAAATAGTATCATTTTCTACTTGGTCTAATTATGTTGATGCTTTAAATGAGTCTAGATTATACCCGCAAATTCAAATCACAAAGTCAATGTATTTTGAAAAACAAACCTTACAATCCGATCAATCAATAACGTTAGTATCTTTAAACAAAGAAAAGGAGGATATGAAACAAGGGGAACTTCAAAACTAATAAATATTCTTTAATTGTAGATATAATGGACAAGTTAAAATATGGTACTTTATTGTAATCGTGGTATCATTAATTGGAACCGGTAAAGTGTTGAATTTTTTTTTTTCTATTTCATTATTTCATTATTTCATTTTATTTAATTTTGCTCTAATGATAAAATCGAATTTTTTTTTCTGTAGGTGTTTATATAACAAAGAGAAGATGGTTATGGGATCATGCTTTAAGACTTGTTTTATCGGAATTGTTTGTATCATGATTTTATTTATTATTCTGTAATAGTTTTTTTTCACCTTAATTAAATTTATATCTTTTTTCTCAGATTCCTTTTTGCATTATGGTTTTCATCAGGTAAAAAAAAAATCAAATTTCTCAAAAAAAAAAAAAAGTTTTGATACCAATTTTCATTCCTTTTGAATTTCTTTTAGGAGTGGCAAATTTTGATCCGTGGTATTCAGGACCAGGCTTAAGATGTGATTTAATTCGTACAGGCTATATGAATTCCTCCATAGAAACATTAGCAGAATTGGCAGAATTGCAATGTAACACGCTTATAGCAAGCTTGTCATTTGGATGGATAAATGTAGGGTTACACGTGGTCTCGTTATTAATTGCGAGGAAACGAGCATCCGAGTTGAATTGGGTCAGCATGCCATCGTATAATAATAATAATGATCATGATCATAATGAACCGGATACAGAGGTTAGAAGAAATTCTAGAGGAAAACGTATTTCTCTGAGACCTGCTCGTCGTCAGGTATTCTTTTAAGGGAATAAGGATTGTTGTTTCAAAGGTTATATGATGGATAATTCTTTTTTTTTTTTTTTCTCGATAAAATAATTTTTTTTTTTTTGTTATGCACCATGTATATTTTATTTTATTTTATTTTTTATTTTATTTTTTTTTTTTTTGTAAATTAATAATTTTATATAGTAGATTTAATTTTACATATTGTTCTCGTGTGTTGGAAAACCGGTTTAAATGTCCGAGGGCTTATTAATTAATAAACATTTAACTAATTTTTACGCTTTAAAGATATGAGTTGCATAAAAAAAAAAAAGAAAAGTATGATTAAGTCTAATCCATCTAAACGTTCCATTAAAAAAAAAAGAAAAAAATTTTTTCTCCGTCTTACAAAAATGGCAAAAATGGAAACAGGAGAATTTTCGATTATCTCTTCCATGCTGAAGAATCTTAAAAAAAAAAAATTTACTCGGATCAGTTGCCATCTCAAGATTAACCGGGTATCACTCAAATTTTAACGTTCTACGCGGGAATTTTTTTTATAAAAAAAATTGCTACGCTACGTCCACGATGCGTAGATAATCTTTTTTTTATCACAATGGGAAATTGTAATTAACATTATTGACGTTTATGAACAAATTACACAAATAATAAAAATAGGAATTCACTCGTAAATCAGTCAACGAAGTGTTTTTTTTTTTTTTTTTTTTATGATGAAACAAATTAAATGCTAGCGAATACTAATCAATAGTATTATGGCTAGTCAATTAAAAGAATTGCCTTTTTATTTTTCAGAATGTGATGATAAATAGTTGTGTCCTCTTTTTTTTTTGTTAAGCCTCCAAATCTAATATAATCCAAGAAACAACAATAATAGTAAATAAAAAATATTTATATATAATTTTTTTATGATGCTAAAAACATGATGATGATTTTTGAACAAGATGAAGAAAAAAAAAAAATTGCAAATTAATATATAACAATAAAAAGAAAAAAAATAAAGTTTGTATACAAATAAATAAATTATAATGATTTTAATGCAAAGGATTTTTTAATTTCTAGAAATTAAAGACCTTGATAAATTTTCCCAACAAATTTTTCCAAACATCATTAAACACATCCCATAAAGTACCCAACTCATTATAAAGAACCACCCCTTCAACACCCAAAATATTATCATTAAATACATAACCAACATTACGCATCTTCCCCCAACCATATACAATGAACTCGCCATATTCCTCAATATTATTTCAAAACTTTGATCGTTATTCACGTCGTCATAATTCATTAACGTCACAAAAAGATTTTCAAGCGAATGGAAGAATCTTTCGAAATCATGGCACCCAGGGACCGTTATGTTTCCAATAACGCTGACCAATCCTGATATCACAAATATTATCAACAGCGGTATGTCAATATCACTTGCTTCTATTAAATGTCGATCAACATGTTCATGTGTTGTGGTGTTTGTTGTTGCGTTTGTTAATATATGTTGTTGAACATTATGCGAGGTCGCGTGTGATTGGCGTAATAAATTAGAGTTTGGAACGAATTGATGATGAATTACATAATGGTCGTATAATTCTGTTGAATCGAAAAAGTGAATATTACATTCCGCGCAAGAAGGATGTCCTTTAAAGTATGAGCCTGCCGTCGAATTTGTCGTGTTGTTGCCATTATAATGATTTATGAGTTCCTCTCGTGTGTATAATTGATGTTCAAATGAAAATATCTTTCGATTTACTATACACATGTTGCTAAAAAAAATTTATTAAAAACAATAAGTTAGCAAAGATTACCTTTTTTTTTTTAAAAAAAAATAAAATTTAAAAAACGGTAAAAAAAGGAGAAACTTACCAAAACATTTTATTATGAGCGATCCGTACGTGATATACCAAGTCATGCCAGTCATTACATATGATGTTGCAATTCTTGGACGGGCACTGAAATTCCATCATTCGAGATGTTGAATGATAAATCGATGTATTTTCGCATAGAATGTTAATATCGGAGATTGTTATCCATCTGATTGATGAGGATTTTAATTCTTGGAATGATCTCTTTGAATCCCGTGTAAACAAAACCTCGTCTTGTTGAGTCTGTAGGATAAAAATTAAAGTTGTATTAAAGATTTGTTCGCAAAAGTGACTGTAACCGTTAGAATCTTTCACGGATGCTTACCCTACAATATGCGCACTTGTCGGATTCAAGTAAAGCTCTTGTTCGTAATGTACATAAATGACAAGTTCGATGATTACATTGAGATAGCGAATAAATCTCTATTGGATCCGAACAAATGAAGCAAATATCTACATTTTCATTGATGGTCGATGAATTATTATTGTTGTTATTGTTTGAATGTTGAATTCTCGATTGTTCGTACAATGACACCAAGGGTGCCGTTGTTAAACTACAACTCGCCGAGTTATGCGTGCTCGCCGTTATATCAACGTTTTCGTGGTGTTGAGAAAATTCGTTACCCATTTTTTATTATTTATTAAATTAAATAAAAAGTGATTTTTTTTTTTTTTGGAATTTTTTTTTAGGTGAAAGTAAAAAATAAAATGATGATACAGACAATATATATACAAAAATAATATATATATATTAATATAAATTAAATGATGATGAGTGAAATGTTTATTTCACAAACTCTCAAAAAAATTTACACAGTTGTAAAACAAATAAGGGAAATTCTCCCTTTTTTAAGATACTTATTTTTTTTTTTTTTATAAAAAATAAGGGACGCGAAGATAAGATCAAGATTTATATAGGGTAATTTTCACCCGGGAACGTTTAACATTTTCTTATTGACCCTTCAAAAAACAATCCACAATTTACGAGATATTATTATTTTTAAAAAAAACGAAAACTAAATATAAATATGTTCATGTGAAAATCACCACTAATTTAGAAATTCATATGTAATGGGCGCTCTCTCTTTGAAACAGGTTTTGACAAGATTTCGAAAAGGGTCTTAGGCTAATTATAGTGTAAATGTTTTTTTTTTTATGAGAGGATCTTTTACAATTATTTTTCTCCCTTACCATAAAAGACCAATAGATACAAGTGTCGCTTTCGTGTTGGCTAATCTTGATAGAAAGGTCATGCAATGCTGTCATCTGTCTAACAGTTGATCATCATGTACAAAAAAATTATTTTATTAAAAAAGATGTAAAATATAACATGGTACTGCATCACATAAATAAACGCACATCAAAAAAAAAAAAAAAAAAAAAAAGAAAAAAAAAAAAAAAAAAAATTTTTTTCTTGGGCATTGTTCTTTTGAAATAAAGATTTTCATCCAAATCAAGTAAATCTTGGCATATAAATTATTGCGGAAATTTCCCAAATTGATTTTCATTACAGCTTTCTTGATTTGTACATTTTTCATAATGAAACAGATCTACACACCACATTTCACCGCAGCAACTTTTTTTTTTTTTTTTTTTGCGCGAGCATGAAAATTAATGAGCTCTTACAGAAAACAATGGAATTTATCACCTGTTGATAGCATTGGATTGCATTCGATTCATCGCCTTTGAAACGTCTGCATTATTTGCGTAAATGCAAAAAAAATGAATTATTTTGAAAATCACAAAACAAAAAAGAAAAAAAAAAAGGATTAACGTGAAAACACAAAGTCCACGAAAATCTCTGCAAATTACAATTACATAGTACATACAGGCTGCAAAAAAAAAAATTCTTTTTTCACGAGAATCTTTTTTTAAGAAAAAATAAGGAAAAAAGAAATTTTTAATCCAGTTTTAACAATGGGTAACACACATATTATAGATTACAAAAAGAGCCTTTATAGTTAAGAGAACCCTAAATTATGCATGTTGAAACTGGAAAAAATGGCGCCCATTGTGAAATTGCACTCACGTGATGAATTTTTTATAAAATTTGTGGCGCTGTAAATTTTAATTCGCGAAGATTACATTAAAATCATCTGAAAAACAAATAAATTTTATGAAAAGATCACAAAGAAATAATCGTTGTTTATTTATCAATCAGACTTTATTTAGTTAACGGATTTAGGATCGATTTTAGTTTGATTCGTTCGAATCATTGTTCAATGATTATAAACCATACCTTTTTTAATCATTAAACAAATAAAAAAGTAACCCAAACTTAATACTAAATCTTTTTCTATGACGAGTATGAACTCGTTCAAAAAAATAATGTTTTGACACAAAAGAATTTTTCAAATTATTTGGTGAAAATGAAGAGAACATTAATCGAAATTTAAAAAAGTTAATTGCCTCCTTGATGTCTTGTTACCGGATGTTAAATAATGACTTGTTCTTTTATTATATAATTAAATTTTATATCCATAAAGAACAAATTTCTCATTTACTCGAATCAGGTTATAAAATTAGATATGTGTATAATTAATATACCTGATTGAACAAATCGATGAAAGATACATCCCAGTAACAATACGTCTAATAACTCAAAAGTGTATTCATATCTTTAATTTTTTCATGTAATATTTTCTTCCTTCCTCATCAAAGTAGTTTTTTTTTGTTCGTTGATATTAACAAGAAATTCTATGGTACATGCAGAATTCTCATCATTATTACGATTATTATGAAGTTTTTGTTTGTTTGATTCAATAGAAATAAAATATTATCTTTAAAAACGTTAATTAAATCATCAACAGTATTACTACTCCAACAACGTTGATGAATCTACCAATAATTTTGCAATGTCAATTGTTTGAGATAACATCGTGAATCAAGTTGTTTCCTTCATTCATCTGGATTGATAAAAAATTTTAGGTGATTCCATGATTTACTGTGTGATACATCAAAAAAAAAGGTAACGCCGATCTATAAAATAATTTTTTCCTGGCTTCAAGGGAAAAAAAAAATATTGAATTATGGTAAGAAAATTACAATCAGTGCGAAAAACTGGAAAACGTTCATATTCGAGTACATCTTATAAATCAACTCGTAAAACAGACACAAAACAAAACGTTATAAAAGATCAAATTGCAGAGAACGACATCATTGTTTTTATTCCTTATCGCACCGATCAGATTAACGATTTGAATAGAAAGGTACCTCACGCATATCAATCAATTCAAGGTTAAATTTCATTTTATTTTATTTTATTTTTATTTTTATTTTTTTTTTTTTTTTTGTAGGTTGCCGCATCAAAGAATAAAGAGCAATCAAAGAAAATGGTGATGCCCTTTTTGATGGAATTTGAAGATGAGACTGGAGGATTTAAAAGTGCTCTAAAAGTTGGAGCCGATGATTGTTTTTTATTCGAAAATACTTCTGTGGATTTTGATACGATAAAATATGGATTTGTTTAGCTACAAAGGTAGATACGGTACATACTGTTAGCATTCTAGAAATGGATGTAAAATTTTCAATTGATCTTTCTGTTTTATATTTCTAGATTTCTAGAAAGAATTTCAAAATTTGAAGGGTTAAATATTTAGGCTTTTTCCGCATTAGGATTTTTCCAACCATATTTGAATTAAAAAGTTGTTCAACTTTGTATTATTATAGCAATTTATTACATTAAAAAATTTTTGTCGCTTTCTTAATAAGGATAAATAATATGATAGACAATATTTTGAGAAAATGATCATTCAAATTCTTAATAAATCTTACTAAACGAAAATTAAATCGTTTTATGCTAAAAATGAACAAGGGAAATTATCTCTTCCCAAATGAGAATTTTTGAAATATTCATATTAAAAGACGAAATCGAATTTCTATATCGGGCCCCCGCCGATATTTAACATGGATCAGCGCTTCTCTCTGTACAAAATGGCTATTATAATGGGATTTTGCGCCAAGACTTAATAATGACCTAAAAAAGAAATTTGATACTACGGATATGAATACATTGTTACATCAATTATCGTAGATCGAATAAAAAAAAAATATATATATATATATAAATATGATTTACTACTTTCTTTTCACTTTGAAATACTCTCAAAACTTTAATGATGGATTGTCCAAGGTATAATGGAAATTCTCATCCGGAAGAATACGTTAAAGAAATGATAACATATTGTGGATTTAAACAAATTACGGACGAACCTGAAATTCTTAAATTTAGTAAATTGATGATCGATTCAACTATAAAGATTTCACAAGATATTGATTCTTGTGAAGGTCTAGTTAACGCATTGAAAGAACATATTACCTTTTCGATTTTTAAAAATTCTTGCAAGAGGAAATTACATTTATTAAAATATAAGGTTGAACGTGATGAAGGTGATACGGCACTGTTCATTTCGAATTTTCGTAAACTCTGTCGTAATGCCGAGATTAATGACATTGAAAAACAAAAAAATTCCTTGTATCGTACACTTCCAAATGACTTTTTTAGAAATGAATTTATTAAAAATTATAGCACGATTAATTCTATGAATGATCTAATGATTTGTTTCGAAAATACTTTAATTGAATATTCTAATTTCATTCGGAATGGTTCGGCCGTGGCCATAAAACATGTGGCTACTGGAAGATACCTTTCCAGTTGGAACAAGTCTTATCTGACAGGTTCAAAAAGTCAAATGGTTTGAAAAAGATTTTTTTTACATTCATTTTTTCAATACTAATTGTGTTAAAAAAATATAAACAAATTCAATCTCTTTTTAGGTATTCTGTGGACAATCTTTACAGGATTCAAACGCTATTTGGCTGATTAGAAGTTTAGATAGTGCCGAGTTGTTAACTTATCATAGTACGATCTTTTTGCAACACCAAAATTCCAACGCCTACCTTGATATTCATACTAAGCGTGATAGTAAATCTCCTGTCTCTGGTTTAACTGAGGGTAATCAGATCAGATTTTACTTTTTCACTCTTGCAACGATTTTTATATTTATCGGAATGTCTTTTTCTTTATACAGTGAGCTGCGGCAGTAACGATAATTATAGTGATTACACATGGATTCTTGAACATGATAATTCAGAGAATGGGGAATATTTGAAAACACGCGATGTCGTGATTCTTAGAAACACATTTCAAGATTTTACGTCTAATAAGCACAAGGAAGAAACCTTGGGTAGCCACGAAGTTACATTTACTATCGATAATGACAAATTGCAGGAAGTCTTTGCTCATGGTGGAGAGCATACCGAAAATGATAAGGTAACTAACTACATATCTAACCATAATAAAAGTTTCACCCTTCGAAAGAATTATTTACTAACAACATATTTCTAAATAGTGGTGTATTGAACTTATTGATTAATTGCACTCATTGATTTCAGTGATTCAATGTAATTTTTTTTTAAAAAAAAAAAAAGTTAAATTAAGATCATCATTGCAAAAAATTAATTTCTATAGTGAATAAGACAAAAGCAAATAGATAATGTAAATTTTCTTGGATTTAATAAATTTATTTTTAAAAAGCTAAAACAAATTATCGTTTTGTTCATTTCCAACAATTAATTAATAATCAGATCTTTATTAATAGTTGGGTTTTTTTTTGTTAAAAAAAAAAAAAAAAAAAAAAAAAAAAACTCAAAGATTAGTAACAACGAAAACATTACATTATGTGAATTTACCCTTCTCGTGGATGCCATAATATGCAAATACTTACTTTTTTTTTCAGATGAACGCGCAAATGATATTCAGTTTTTGTTAACGCATAAAATGGATATTAAAAATTAAATCTTTATGTTAAGGTGCTGATTATTTCGTCAGCCTATAGAGATCAACCATTGTTTATGCATGAGTTTTCTTAGTCACTGATAATTGAGTGACGTGTGATCTGCAAAAAGGAAGACGTTGCGGAATTGAAAATATAAAGGGCCTCCGCAGTGATATTAGATAGTCGCGTCTTGGAAGACTGATCCACGATCTTTGTATTTGGACGCCACCTTCATTTTTTTTTGGGAAAAAGTAATCGTTGCATAGGAGTTTCACATTGATCAAATACCATCAGTGATTAAGAGCCTATGAGACGAAAGGCCTTTGATTGCAAATTTCATGCAAACTGACATTGACGATGCAATTAGACCGTTATGAAATTGTTCTAATAGAAAGGCAATGATGATTTGATTAAGGAAGATTTTTGCTTACGGATTTGCCTGAAAACTCTAAATCTCACTTATAATTGTATGATTTCTTAAAGGACATTAATGTTATGTTCTTTCTTTCCAGATGATGGTAATCATTTCGAAATTCGAGTTTATAGCATGAACATCATAAAATTCGTCACTTGTTAAAATTGCCTTTTTCAAAGTATTTCATAATTTTTTTTTCCACCACATGCACATTCAAATAATCATCTTACCGGATACCCGGAATACGAGATATCGAGGGAATAGAAGCTGTGAAACGCCAACAGAAAGAATCACAAACTTTAATCAATCTTCTCTCTTGAGACATACATCATAAAGATCTGTCATTCACCGAGTGCTGTTGTGCAAGAGCTAGTCCTTTAAAGGACATGATTAGGGGAGCAATATGGAGCTCCCATGTTATTAATTCTTTGGAATCTGTTTACGAAACAATATAATGAAGCATCCCATTCACAAATCACAGAGTTTTTTCCAAGACTGTTAGCATCAAAGGCGAAAGTAGGAATCATGTACAGTATTATGTTATGTTGGGAACATAATGATGATGAAGCGCTGCTTATTTAAATTCATAAATGATATTAAGATAAAGTTGTTACAAATCACTTTTTATATAAATTTTATTGTAATACATAATCAAAAAAAGTGATTTATCTATTATAGTTCGACTGAGTTAATAAAAAATTTTGATTGTTTAATTACGGCTACCAAATCCAGCAAAACCAGGCTGCTGAGTAGTTAACATTTCATATACCGGAGGCTGAGTAGTTAACATTCCATATACCGGAGGCTGAGTAGTTGATGATGCTCCAAAACCATTAAATCCAATACTAGAAGGAGGAAAGCCACCAATATGAACAGGAAAAGAAGATTTTTTTGTAGATAAATTAGAACCTTGTTTTCGTACCCTATTTCCTCTTATAATCATTTTAGATTCCTGTGGTTTAACAAAGCTCCAAATGATCTTTTCATAAACTTTTCTTGGAAACATTTCTGAATATGGTTGGACCTCTTTTTCAAACTCTTCGACCGAGATATTACAAAATCTAACGAAATCAATGAAATTCTTTAAAACTTCCCACAAATCTTTAAAATTGTTTTCATTCCATTCACTAACATCAGTTTCATTTAAATTTGAATCATTATCAACATTACTTGAACTCTCATGAATTCCCCACTTAATAATATATTTCCATAATTCAACTTCTTTCATTTCTAAATCGTCTCTTTTCAATAATTTAATTAACACTTCTTCATTTAAATTACCATAATCCTTTGGCAAAAATATCAAGTCAGGATCTTCACAAATTTTCTTTGTACAAAACTCTTGAAGAGCTTTACATCCTGTAATTGTATGGGCATGTAAATGAATTTTGATAAAATTTGTTTTCATCCAAGTATCTGCAAGAGAAATCAGGAATGTTTCAGTAAATTTCATTAATTCGAACAATATAAATTCATCAGCAGCTGATATTAATTCTAATAATTCTAATAAATTTAATTCATCGAGTGTCACTTCACCGCTATACAAGTGTCTAAATGGGATGAATTATTATTTAGCAATTATTTGTCTTAAATTTATATTATAAATGTATACAAAATGCTTACTTGAGAATAATACTAAAAATTTTAGGAGCTACATTTTCCTTTTCAAAAAGAATTTTACCATCTTCTCTTTTAATCCAATTACTTGATAATGCGGCTTGAAAGTAAGTTGATTGTGATGATAATATTAATGAATGCGCATACAGTGTCTTATTAATTGACTTCTCTCCACATTTAATAATCATATCATAATTCTTGTCTGAATTTTGTAACAACGTTTCATAATTTTTGACTAATCTATTTAATAAAATATTAGATGACATACTGTGAAGATGAAGAAAGAAAGAAAAATAAAATATTGATTTCATCTTAATTTCTTTCAACTAAATTTGGTAGTGATTATCACAAGGATAAATGATGACATAAAATCAATATATTCAGAAAATTTACAAGTATATCAAATGTAGCCTATATGCGAAACTTACACTGCTTACGCATACAATTAAATTTATTTGTTTAAATATTTTAAAAATATATATCATTTATTATAATTTTGCTATTAATTTAACTAATATAAATACATATTAATTATTAATTAAACTTTATTTTTTTTTAATTTTGATAGAAAATAATATAATATTTATTTTAAAATATAATTATTAAATATAATTCATTTTTTTTGAGATGTTGAATTATAGTTTAATTATAGAAACTATATATTTTAAAACAATTTTTTATACTTTAAATTCTTATGTATAAAACTTTAATATATAATTTAAATAAAATATATATATCTCAATGATTTAAAATTTATTTATTTCTAAAATTGAGATTTAAAATGCAAATATTTAACTTATATATAATGAAACATACATTAATATAACAAATTTGTTATAAAATTTGTTAATTTTAGAAATTATTAAAAAATTTCTATATTTATTATAAAAGTACTATTTTATATAATAATTATTATTTACAAATAATTAAAATTTAATTAATTGATTATATAATAAATTAAATTAATATTATTATTTATAGAATTTAATGTCTTATATTTATATATTATATGATTTATTACATAATTTATTTTTAATATAATTAATGATATCTAATATTTAAAATCATAAAAATTTATTTAAATTTAATGTAAATTCTTTTCTTTTTTTATACTCTATTTATTTTAATCATAAAAAAATTGTTTTAGATAAAATAAATACTAGCTATATTAACTTTCATAATAATTTATTATCTTAATCAAAAAAAATAATACAAACTTAAAAATCCTTATTATAATGAATTTAAAAAAAAATATTAAGTAATAAAAATACAAAAAAATCAAAAATTTACATTAGATTATTATTTGAAACTTAAGAATATATTTAAAGATATTTAATATATATAGTATTTAATAAGAATTCATTATAAGATTAGAAGAAATGAATTAGATAATAATATCATTAAAAATCTTACAAATAAATATTTTAAATCTAATAAATATATTATACAAAATACTATAAATCTTATAAAATTATATAAAGTTAAATAAAATATTTTTAATAATTTAATCTATTATTTTTTAAATTTAATAATATTATTAAATTATTTATATTTATAATTATTCTATAAATTTTATAATTTATAAAATAATTTCTAAATTTAAATTTGCCTTTAAAATGTTAACTAATATTATATAATATATTATTATAGCTCAATAAATTTATTTTTAATATATTTTTTACCTGGCTATGATTATTATCCCTTCAACTGTTTTGCCTACAAATTTGTTGGCAATTTTATTTATTAATTACAATAATTTTTAAATATTTTAAAATATATTATTAAAAAAAATTAATTTTTTATAATAAATTTTATGTTTTTTAAGTAAAAATTAAAAAAAATGTAATAAATTATTATAAAAAAAATTAAATTTTTAAAATATTACTATTTAATAGGTTTTAATGAGATGAATCCAATAAACTAAATTTTATATTTTTGTAATTATTAAATAAAAATTATTTTTAAAAATTAAAAAATTGAAAATTAATATATATTAATAATTAATAATTTTAAAAGTTTAAAAATACTACTATTAAATACATCATAATATAATAAATCTAAAAATTTTTTTTTATCTTTTTATAATTATTAGATATTAAAATATTTTAAGTTTTTTTTTTTAACATGCGGTAATTCTGCATAATCTTTATTAAAAATAAGTAAAAAATACAAATTACAAAAGAGAAAGTATAGAAATTTCTATTTAATAAGATTAAATCAAAATCAATCTTACACTATTTCAAACTAACTTACCTTAAACAAATTTAAGATAGACTCAACTATCTAGTACTAGGGGCCTGATTACTATCGATCTAAAAATTTGACCAATTAGAACTAAAGTAGAAGAAGTTGTGAAATGAGGGAGGAATGTCAAAAGAATAGGGAGTAATATTAGGAAAGCTAGTGAATGTAATATTAATTTTTCATTTAATAAGAGATATATTGTGAGTAATCTCAAACTGATTAAAAGTATAACAGTGATCAAGCCAAAAGGATTTAATTTTAGCATGTGCAAAATGGTAAGTTAAGAAGAGTAGACCAAAAACAAGTGATTTATTATTGATTATTTGGTATAATGTTTTATAAAGTGGAGATGATATAATATTCTTTGATAAAATTCACAAAGTTAAAAGATAAGTCAATTAAATTGAGTTCTAAATATTCATGAATATGAGGCTTGAGATATCAAAATAAGAATTCAGCTTAAATAAATGTTAGAATAGAAAAGTAATAGTATCTAAAATTATGTCATTAAGTTGATGTAAGGTAGCTAAGTATTGCCAAATATACTTAAAAGTTTCTAAGTTAATCAGACATTTGGGACAAGACCATGATTTATCATACAGAATAGGATGACATCATTTGAATACTTCATATATCAAAAGAAGTTCTAACAAGAGTTTAACTTTGAATTTGCGAATTAAGAAAACCTTATATGATATGACTGAAGCACTTTCATTATCATTCAGAATAAAAGTAGTGCTGATCTAATTTACATTTAATAAGGAATACTTAAAAAAGTGTGAAAGTAATTAGACATTGTTAAAGTCTATAGATTAGAGAAGATCTTTAACAAAATGTCTTAGTGATGTTAAAATAACATAGTTATCAAACATGAGCATGTAGTCATATTCTAGCTCTGATGATATAATAGTCATATATGGACTTGTAATTTTGGCAAGTCTATCAACTTTATTGTTGTAGTAATTATCAGTATGTACTTTAACTTTATGAAGTGTAATAGTGATATTTTTGTCTTTAAAAAGGCAGAAAAATAAACACCAGATGAGATAATATGAAATTTTAAATGTAAGATTATAAGTAGAAGTATATATAAAGAAGTAACTCATTTTTAAATAAGAGGAAATGGTGACTTATAAATCTGTAAAAATATCAACGTTAATGTTAATTGGCAAAACAAAAATTACAACTAAGAAGGCAACTAGTTCTACTAGTGTTAACGTGCAATCCTTACGAATTGCGACAGTTAGACGGGGTGTTCGAGTGGTAATTCTTTTAAGTTTACGTAGTGGCTCAACTCAATTTATCTCCAGATTTATAGTTTACACAGTAGTGTATTCTCGATAAGACTAAAAGCAAAGCGACTCGATTGATTCAGAGGTATAATAATACGTTTATTGATAAAAGTAATAATAATA